GGTTCATGCATTGTTAAATACCAACGTTGGAAAATCACAACAGAGCTTGTGACAAACTTTTCTAGGTGCCTATACCTTCTAGTTCCATATCGTATTCTAATTTTACAAAGTCAAAATAGGCATATAGCTATCGATATTTTTGAATTTAATAATTTTGCTTCGTTAGTTGCATTGTTAAATCCCTCCAAACGTCCGTGGGATTGACAGACTTAATGCGGTTTTCGATATTCTCCGAACTCGATAATATCAACCTGCAGGCTGAAATTGGGTTTTTCGCTGCCGTCAATCAAAATAAGCAGTCGGTACCTTTTATGTTCTTGAAAACCAAGCCGTACAAGCCGTTGAAATGTTTGAGATTGCAGAATATCGAAAACCGTATTAACTCAAATCCCAACTTAATTTGTTGATTATTTTTATTAATATGTTATTGACGATTAATGTTTCCACAGGCAAGCGTGACCGCAGCAAGAAAGAACCAGGAGAGCAAGAAATCTTTGTGGAGTCTTTAAAAATTAACCGGGATTTCTTGGCCGGAGATGACAAGACAAACGACATTGCCTTGCTTAAATTAGCAAAGGAAGTAAAATTTGGAAGAACCGCTCGACCCATTTGCTTGCCAGAGCCATTGAGCCGAGTTAGAGCTGGAAAGATGTGCGTAATGACAGGTAAGGTGATTACATTTTATTTAAATATCTTGCTGAACGATTACATATAGCTTGGTTTAGTGAAGGACAAAGTGCATAAGCAAAGAATCAAGTATGGAAGATCTGGGATGGGCAATATGAGACTAAACGGAACTGTAATTGAACTTTACTGTTTTCTGACAAATATAGAATATTAGACACGGCTAAATTCTAACGATGTATAGATTTAGCATGTCAGGTGGCCCTACCTCCCTTATTAAACGAGCAGCTGTGTTTAAGTAACGATGCCGTTTAGAACGATAGCGAGAACAAACAACAGAAATGAAAAGAGCACCTCGACATTAGTACGTAGGCGGAGATTCAGCTCACAACAAGAGAAACAGGAAAATGGCATTAAAAATAAAATGGAATGTTTTATAAGGATTTGTGAAAATCCATGCACAGGTTGGCAAGGTCTTACAAGCCAATACTTTCCCTATACAAATCCTTATAAAATATTTCAATTTTATATTTGAATTCATTTCTCTTTTAATTAACATTATGAGCTGAAACTTTGCCCCTTTACTAATGTCAAGGTGCGCTTTTCATTTCTGGCGTTTATTTTGACATAACAGCTGCTCGTTTGAAGAGTTAGGGTCACGTTGCCTGTTAGTGCAACGCGTCTAATAAAGTATGGAGTAACAAAATAATATTTAAGGCAATTTATGTTAATTATTCAAATTGAACCTGATGATGGAGTCAAGATGACCCCGAAACGTCGTTCTGTAATATCCCTCGCTCTTCTTGTAAAACGTTTTACCCAATCTTAAGCTTGTTTGATCAAAATAAGAATTGGGCACCCAAAAATAATGCCATGAGTAACTCTATTCACTATGCTGTTGTTTCACTAGGATGGGGAAGGTTTGCTACTGGTGAAGATAAACCTAATGTCTTACAAGAAGCTCGTGTGCCAATCGTGAGCCACCGAAAGTGCGACAGAAAGAACGGTCAGCTGTCTGCTATTGACGACTGGACCATGCTGTGTGCTGGTTTTAAGAATAAGAAGAAAAGTGGCTGTCAAGGTGAACAATACGATAGACTTTCTAGATTCCTTGTAGGACATCAACCGACTGACCGACTAACCGACTGACCGACTGACCGACATATTTTATTATGTTGCTAGGTGACAGTGGTGGCCCTCTAGTTTGTAAGGAAGGCAATAGATGGGTTCTCCGTGGAATAATAAGTTGGGGCAGCATGAAATGTGACGGTCGTGAAGCATACTCCGTGTTTACTCGTGTCAGTCACTTTATGCACTGGATGTACTTTGTCAAGCTGATTCCACAAAGAACGTACAAACGTAAATATTATTATTTTAGTGCATAGGTCTTTGAAATATTTTAAGCTGTATAAATATGACGTTTTTCAACTACATACTCAAACTAATTTAGGCATACTAGTACTATTTTAGCGGTAAAAATAAATTTCTCGTCATCACTCAGTTTACGCTACATTCTCGTCATCACTTTTACACTACATACTGGCGAATCCATGGGTGGTAAAAAGGGATGGCTAGTCATCCCCCTTTTGTTTAATAGTCATCCCCTTCTAACTCTAAAATTCCTGGATCCGCCCCTGATGCTTATGGAACGCGACTATGCTTTTATTAATTATTTGTATTCATTTTACACCCATGTGAAGCCGAGTCTGGGAATCTAACCCGAGACCCCAGAGATAAGATATGTGAGGCGAGTGCATCACCACTACTATACGTTAGCTTCAGATTCCCAAATCAAGAAAAGAGACACTCGGTCTGAAATGAAAATCCTGAATGTTTCGACCCCATCTTTTTTATATATACACAGTAGGCTTTAAAGCTAAAAGCTTGTCAGGTCGTGTATCCTCCATACACGCTCCTCACTACATTCGAAGAATATTCTATACACAGTAGGTTTAAAGCTAGAAGCTTGTGGGGTCGGCTCGTGGGGTCGTGTATCCTCCATACACACTCCTTACTACATTCGAATAGACTATACACACAACTCTCACTTTATTTGTACGTAAGTCAACTAAACGTCCAACACGTTTTTGTTTCAAGAATGCATGGATAATCACTGGTACTGTGGAGACTGGGAAGAGAAAGGGCTTTGTACTAACAACTACTACAAAAATATATTGCGAATATACTGTCCAAGGACTTGTGGACATTGCAAGAACTGAAAGTACCATAATGGCTCTGGAGATCCGTGGATCAATTCCCAGGTAGGTGAACGTCTTTGCGCTAAAATAGACTTTTTAACACTGTGGTACCGATGCTGTTTCTTCATTACGTACCATGTGTCATCCTCTTTAGAATAATTCCCTATTCACACCTAAACGTATTTAGTTAAACTATGTCTTCATTAGGAAAAAAAATTGAGAAACCAGAAACCTACAATATAATATGAAACTTTCTAAAATATTATCAGAGCAAGACAAAGGATAGTTTACATGCATTATTTCACCAAATATTGTGCAGTGTTTGTAGATAGTTTTCCAAACCTGTTTAGTTAAACCACTTTAAAACATGTTTAAGTCTTGGTGTAAATGGGGTATAAGATTCTTTGTTTGAGTTGGTTCCATATTCATGATCTCATTCACAACCGGTTAAATAAAGAAATACTCTAGGGAATGACACACGTGGTCTGAAAAGGGAAATTTTTGCACGACGACGAAATAAGGTCTATAATGACAGTTTGTTTATGGTGGGAGAGAGAAGAAAACTTTAATAACAACTTGGCAAAATTTCTCTGAAATTCTTTGTGCTGCAATGTTGACAAGCCAATTGGAGTAACATTAATACAGGAACGGTGGAGGGGTGGGCAAATTTGCCCCAAGACAACATTAGAAATAGAGAACGACCAAAAATGTTTTGTCCAAGTTGGTCGAGGAAGTTAGAAAAGTGACAGGTGACATGAGCAATTTATTTTATTGAAATACATTTCCCTGCTTGTTTTTCAGGATGTTTAAAAGAAACGAGAGGTTTATGATTTGCTACATAATCATTGTACGAAAAACAGGGATTTGACTATCAATAAATATGCATGATTACAACCTAATCAGAACTATTATCAATGAATGGAAATACTTGTCTCCTACGCAGCCGCTATTAGTGTCGTCAGTCGTCACGCAACGCTCACTCCCCTAAGTTAGCGGCGCTAGGGGAGTGAGCGTTGCGTGACGACACTAATAGCGGCTGCGTAGGAGACTATGGGAATACTTGAAACTTAATTCCTTTTAATTTGGGGACCCGAAAATTTTATAGACAAAGGTTGCGTGACAAATAGTTAATCGTTTTCCTTTCATTATTTTCATTCCAGGAGTATTCTTTCTTTTAATTTATTTTATTACTTTTTTTTAATTTGAATTTTTGTTACTTTTCATTTCATTCATTTTCATTTCATTTATTTCCTTTTAATTCCTTTTGTTTTCGTTTCGTTTCGTTTCGTTTCATTTCTTTATCTTTCCTTTCACTAAATTTCTTTTCATTTCCTTTCATTCCCTTTCAATATACATATTAACAAGATGGCGCATATTTCGTCCCCTAGAACAGTCTCACAGTGCACTGCAATCCAACTCGATGCAGTTTTCCTCTTAACATCGGAATAGCTAATGGTTTCATTAAAACGTCATTACGAATAGAGTATATCATCCGAAATAGATATAATCATGTGCACGTGGTCTAAGATCTGAAAAAAACAACTATCAAACTTAACTAATCAATATGCTTGCTCTTAAACTCTGCAGTATGCAGTTATTTTTGTCCCTATCCGATAGATAAACCAACCCTCTATTGTTTGCTCTAATATCCTTAATTTCTCAAAAATTATACAAAGTAAAGAACAAATCCCAAGCTTAAGGAGAACGAAGGATAATGCGAGTTACTGTATATGATTTCAGTCTGGGCTTAAGCGATTTGGTCCTCAAGGAGATGTTTTGATAAGTAATATCTTTGCATACACTTCGGAGCGTTCAACCAGTAACCCTATCTTGAGATATCATTTTATCGGACTGATTTAAATATTTATCATTAGTTTTTCTTGTTTATACCACAAACATGGCGGCTATACACGGATTTGATTTCTATTTCTCAAGGGACTGGAAAGCCGTTCTAAATATAGATGGTCTATACTGGGATTTGATTTCTATTTCTCAAGGGATTGGAAAGCCATCTAAATATAGATGGTCTATACTCGGATTGGATTTCTATTTCTCAAGGGATTGGAAAACCGTTCTAAATATAGATGGTCTGGGAAAACGATACATAAAGAAGATAAATGAGTTGTACGCTCCGGGTAATGGGCTCCTGCTCACTTACTACAAGTTACTATATAGAATTCGTCTGGGTTCGGGTTCAAGAGCTTCGGTCCTCAATGAAAGGCTTAGACTGAGTGATCTGGGCATATCTTTTGAAGAATGCTCACCTCACATTTTTTTTTTTTTTTTTTTTTGGAAGCTGATACTTTTAAGTTCAGTCTCGAAGAGCTTTATCTCTTCATCTGCAAGAGCTTTAAATGAGCATATTATAAACATAACTCATTGAAGCAATTTATTTTAAGCACATCGAATACCTTTCGATACGCGACACCCATATCATATTTACATATACATGAAAAAATAACTGTTATTTTTTATTTTGCATTTATCGTAGCATGGCATTTAATATGCTATCTAACATGACTTCAATAACAAAGTAAAAATATAAAGTCTTATTATATAATTACCAATGAAATATCTATTTTTCTCTATTTCGAAAAATTGATATCTTCACACGTGAAAATAACATGTTATTTTCACGTGYRAAAATAACACCATTGCGATGGCTATTCAAAAATACAMGGAAASAATTGCCTGAAAAAGCCAAAACATACATCATTGATAATTATATAATAAACAGAATATTACATGGCCGCTTGGAGATACGAAATATTATCTTCTCGTGTGAAATCTCTCACTCGTTCGCTGCGCTCACTTGTGAGAGATCTTTTCAACACTCGAAGATAAATTTCGTATCTCCGCGGGCCCATGTAATATCCTCTATTTATTAGTTTCTCCATGACTTTTGCAAGAGGTCTATAGTTTATTAAGTTTATAGTAAATTTTACACGGTACCGGAAGAATTTTCAGCCAGTCAAAAATTGAAATGTACCGCACCGTTTACAAGGAACCGTCTCTTCAATTGCATAAAGAAATTTTTTTTTGTTTACATGAAACCGGATCAGAATCTGCAAGGCTATAGGAGTTCGGAAAGCTCAGTCCCGTGTGAGCGGAACCCCTGTACGTATAACTTTTTAACCGGTTAAAAAATTCGTCCAGTACCGTGTAAACGCAACCTAAACCACGCTTACGTCACATGACTTGATTGCAAACTCGTTTACCAAGCGTTGAGTGACATTAGTCTGTGACCACCCACGCATCTAATACAAACATAACACACAGAAACCCAAGCCACTTCCAGTCGGATAGTAATTAAATCAACACCTGTGAGCATTCTTCTGCTCGATTAGAAACGCATTTTCCTTCGTATTACGAAAGCGACATTTCGGGCCGAAGTTAAATTCAGTCGTTAGTTGCAAAATGAAGAAGACAGAACTCCTACTTTTGATGTGCTTTTGTGCGCTGTTTGCTGGTCAAAGCAAAGGTGAGTGCATTTGAAAATGTTGTTTGAGAAAACTTTAGAATTATCTCCAGATTTAGGCATTAAAATCTAACCGTCTTCTCTCAAGCTTTGCCTCAAATTTAGGTTTAGAAAGATGAAAAAGTATATGCACGAAAAAGTAGCAAAGCCGAGATCATTTTAATTGTAGGAATATTAAAGCTAGAGAACAAATGTAATTTGATGTGAGCGTACATTCTTTCAAGCTCATGGTTAATCCATTTGACATGGAATTCCTCAAACATTTACGGAGCATCTTATTAAACGTAACGTGAACAATGCAATTTTCTTCAGATTAAGTTGACGACAAAATGTGTCCTAATTGATGTACAAATCTATATACACTTTCAAAAGGAATAAAAGAAAATGCTAGATCATTGAAACCAAAACTTCTGCGTCACAAAACAGTATACTTTTCTCACCAGCTTAAGATAACAAGCTTGAATCGCGTAATGAGCTTAAGTTCGTACCGGTATTGCTTTAGAAAACATAATGGCTCATTTTTGAAGTCTAAAGATGACTGAAAGAAGTTGGTCCAACGTTAGCTTAGAAAAGCAGTATCCATAGCTTTGAAAAATAGTAAAAATGATAAAGATGAAAAATATTGGCGAAAAAATAGTATTGAGTTTGACAAATTCGTTGATGTTCGAAATTTAAAGCAGTTTTTTTTAAATGTTTAAAAAAACAGTATTGACATTTTAGTGTTGAATAGTGTTGCCAGCGCATGGCGAAAAGGGATATTAATATGCCACGTCAAATTTGATGTTGTGGGATTTAAAAAAAAATCTCAGTGTGAATGAAGACGGCACATCGATCACTTTTACCCATGAAGAATGAGAAACACACGAACTCTATATTGTTGTATATTTTCCGTCATCTTTGTGTTGATTTGATTCCCCTGGAAAGAAGTGATTACGGTATCTAACAACTAGGCTTTTCGATCCAGTGAATAAATGCCACCCCCAAAGTAACGAGTTAAAATGTGCTGACCGTTACCGTGGAAACTAAAATTCCAATAATAAAATGTTTTATTGTTTTTCACATTATTATTGATTTGTAATTATTGATACAAATGTTTTTTAATTGGAAACAGATTTTTTAAGGACTGTTTCTATAGGATATGAAACTGAAAAAATCTATCTGGGAAAGATCTCCTAAAATGGCCCCACAATGCACTGCGATACCAACTCGACCCAGGCTACCTCAGCTCGAGAGTTTCAATTGTTTTGACATTTTCCTACACAGCATCTTGTGGTAAACGCCGAGTCAAGCGAGTAGTTGGGGGAGTTGAAGCTTTGCCCCACACATGGCCTTGGCAAGCCCTTCTTCAGGGTTACAAAGATGGAACTTTCGTACACAAGTGTGGAGGAACACTCATAAGTCAAAGTTGGGTGTTAACTGCAGCACACTGCGTGTTTATGGATCCTAGACCATCATCCTACAAGGTTAAACTAGGTATAACCAACCATCCAATAATCCAGTTTCGGTCTCTGTTACTCAGACTGAGTTGGCCTCGCTTTTTGAACAGAATATTCTTTTCTAGTCCACTGATGAAGGGCCATCGGCTTTCAAAGTGTTTGTATTGTTTGAGTTCTGCATTTTTTACTTTACAGTTGGTATTTGTGAATATTTAGACACTGATATGAGGCTAACCCTGAGTAAATGGATCAAGGAACACAGCGGTATACTCTATAAAGGACTATAGTCTTCTTTACCTTGGGCGTAATGTTTTTTTCAGACCATGTGTCATTCCCTAGATAATACGATTTGTTGTTTGAGTTGTATCAATATTCATGTGATCTTCGAAGGAACAACCGTAAAACAAAGAAATGATACTCTAGCAGGAATGACAAAGGGACGTCTGGAAAGGAAAAACATTGTGCTGCCAAATCAATTGGTTAAGACTATATAGACCCCTTGCATGTGACGTCAAAGCAGCTCGATCTGGCGGACGAAACAAAAGAATTCCAATCTCCTGAGAATTAGAACCTATTGTTTTGTCCCTCAGATTGAGCTACATTCCAAAGTGCTGCAAGGGGTTTATAATTATTCATATCCCACTTCAAATCCGATCCTCAAACTTCGAACATGGCAAAAAATAGACCTCTACCTTAGCTAGGCGTGATGTTTTCTCATTTATAATTCTTTGTTTGTTGTACTCCATATATTCATGTGTCTTCACATGCGCAACTGTTAAACAAAGAAAAGATACGCTTGGGAATGACACGTTGTCTGAAAACGTAACGCCCAAGGTAAAGTGGTTTATTCCCAAATATACATTTCTTTTCAAGGTGCACATTATCGATTAAGAGATGAGAAGATCACTCAAACCTTTTCGGTGGACAAACTCGTTATACATCGACGTTTCCTAACTAACAAACGCTATGGCTACGACATCGCACTTATAAAGTTATCACGTCCTGCCATACTTAACTTTGCTGTTGGGTTGGCGTGTCTGCCAAGACAGAGCCACAGTATTCCTGTCGGGTCACCGTGCTATCTTACAGGTGGGTCGTGCTTTTCGGCGTTAAACGAGAACAAAAGCTTAGGAAACGGGCACGGGGGTCGAATTCCTCTCGTTCTCCTAAAATTAATAATACATAATGATAATGGAATTTTTTAGAAATGGTGGCACGTGACAGTCGTTACCGAGCACGTCAGTGATAAACTTTTGTCCATTTATGGCTTAAGTCAAACGTCGAACTTCACCAGAGCCGAAACTAATTAAAACAGTGGATAAAAAGATATAACTAGCTAAAAACTAGTGTGAGCTGCGTCGGTGTTTCTAATGAAACAGTAATGATGAAAAGGTAAATTATACACCGTGAAAAGATGAAACAACTTACTGACGTTTCGGACGCTAGTCCTTCGTCGGAGTAAAAGAGGAAGTCCGACGAAGGACTAGCGTCCGAAACGTCAGTAAGTTGTTTCATCTTTTCACGGTGTATAATTTACCTTTTCATCATTACTAAAACAGTGGATGGTAAGTAGGTCTTCTTTGATGTCACTAGGCTCGGCTCATGTCAAGTTCGACGTTTGATCTTAGTCTATGTTTAGCGTTTCTTGATATAGAACCGCCATTTTACTTGGCCATCCGAGCGGTCATGAAGAAAGGTCTAACCATTTGCAGATGTTGTTAGAGCAAATGCAGTATCTTCTTTATTAAGATATTTTAAGACTCTGCATGTGGGTTCCATCTACGGGTTCCCCGCACCTCCCTCCCCC